AACAACAAGACTTCTCCGGAGAAGTCTTGTTGTTGCAACAAAAAATAAAACAGACATCTCCATTTGTATTATATCTCCGTATCTAACGATCGGATATGTCTGATTGTTGCACCAATCGACGGAGATTTTTTTTTTCTATAGGAATACACAAAAAAGTGATTTTCGAAAAAAAGTGGAGATGTCTGGTTGTTGCACCCACCTCTTCAATTTAGGTACTTATGTACTTTGAGTTTCGAGATCATCATATGTTAAATATTCTACTTCGGCTTCAGTTTCTGACCCACATTCAGATGTTTCATCATCAGCATATGGAATTTCAAAACTTTCATCATCTGAATTGTCTTCACCTTCAATCGTTTCATACTCATTTTCATCAATGTTCATTGACATATAATTCAACTCCTGTGATTTAGTAGTCAATGTAGATGTAGATGATGCAGAAATTAATTTTAAAGCTTTAGGTTTTAGATTATTGTTGATTAACTTCCAGTTATGGCTGATGTAGGTTATTTTACCAGCCCTATCACATGTTAGTTTATTTCTTTTTTTTGTGTGAATGTTCCCATAAGTACTGAATGAGCGCTCTGTGGCAGCTGATGTAGTTGGAGCAGTTAAAATACTTGTAGCTATTGATGAAAGCACAGAAAAGGAACATAAACCATTCCACCATACTAGAGGTTCCATTGAATTTGCAGATTACCATAAATAACTTTTTAACCAAACTCCTGTTGATTTTGTTTTATAGTTAGCCAACTCGGACATTATGATATTAGCATTTAAACCTTTGGTCATTGAAATATTATAAATAAATTCAGATGCATCAATATACTCTTCAGGAGTGAGTGAAGTTCCTTGGTCACAAGGATCGAGTACTGTTGCTGCCAAATGTATGGGTTTTATCATATTTACTTTTCTTCTTTGGAAATTAATGCACATCTTTGAGGAATCAGTTAGTGACAAAAGCGAAGAACCATTGCTTTTGTTAAAACAAGTTTCAATGTCCATAATATATTTGTAAACCTTATGGATATTTGGCGAATCTGTCTCTAATAAAGTTATAAATTTAACCATAGGTTTTAATAAAATAATACATTTGTCAACATTTTTCCAATAACCACTATCATCCAATAAAAGCTTTTTAATAGAAGCTGGTAATGTTGGTTCACGGACAGCTAAAATTTGTAAACTGAATTTAGTTGAATTTAAACTTTCCAGACAATAAAAAAAACTAGCCCATCTTGTTGGAGATTGTAGTTTTAGGGAACATAAAATGTTTTGTTCTTTATTAATATTCTCTAAGCAAGCTTTGAGTATCTGCGACCGATTAATTGATTTTACAATTGATAAGCTATCTGATTTTAATTTAACTAATGACTCAAGGCTTACAATATCATTGAACAGTAGGTTTATAGAATGTGCTAAACAATTAAGAGGAACAAAATGAGGATACAAATTTTTAAGTAACATGAAGCTTTTTTGAATATTTGAAGCATTATCACCAATTAAAGTAACAAATTTCATGGGATTGAACTCAATTAAYACTTTATTGATTTCATSTGATATGTATTCCGCTGTATGTCGATTTTGACCAGTTGCAACACTTTTAACAAAAACTGGACGTGGTGTTGACAGTATAAAATTCATAATTCCATTATTTCTAATATTGGTCCAACCATCACATTGTAGATGTAGATATGGGGCAGACAAAACAATTTCAGATACCTTTTTTTCATTTCACTATATTGACTTTCTAATAAGGTAGATGACAATGCGCTCYGAGTTGGTATTTTATATACTGGACGACAAGTTGCAAAAACTTTTTGCCATAGTGGATGTTCCAACATACTTAATGGAGCATCAGTGACATAAATTGCATTTGCTATGTGTTTATCAAGGTCATCCTTTAAAATATAGAAACCACTTATTACTTATTACCTACTTTATAAAACCTATTATATAAAAATAAGTTGTTTGAAATTATTAGGAATTTACCTTTTGAGACTTATTCATTGAGTCAAAATAATGCGCTCAAGTTTTTGGGACTTGATAATGGCTGATGAACATTTTGAAAGTACAGTTAATCTTCCAGAATCATTTATTGTTCCAGCTAAACCAGATACATTGTTATTATGATCAGTATCATCCAGATCCAATACAGATTTTGCCATTCAATCTGATTTTTAGATGGACGATTATTTGGGCGGTTCGGATACTAAAGATAATGCGTTAAAGTTACGTCATTCTTTAATGGAAGTTATGGTACGCGKTGGTTTTCCGTTAAGAAAATGGATGTCAAATAGCCGCGAACTACTTAACGACATGCCAGATATAGGAAATAAATCAATGACCATAATGGAACTTGAAAATAAAATGACCAACATTTTAGGTTTATTATGGTGTCCAGAACGCGACGTTTTTAAATACAAAATTGAAACCATTAAGCTAAACGATCTACCAGTTACAAAAAGAAATATATTATCACAAATCGCTTCGTTGTTTGACCCACTAAGTCTCGTTGGTCCAATAGTAATACGCGCAAAAATATTAATGCAAACATTATGGTAATTGCGATTGGGATAAACCTGTGCCTATTGAAGTAAAAAATGAATGGAACAATTATTTAAATTCATTAAATTATCTGCGTGAGTTAGAAGTACCTAGATATCTCGGTAAGTGAAATACAGGATATTACCAGTTTAAATGAATGGAATCACGTGAACACGCAAGATAATCCAGCCGATATAATATCTCACGGTTGTCGTCCCGTTCAAATAATAAATAATAGGTTAAGGTGGGAGGGCCCTCACTGGCTCACTGACAATTCCGATAAGTGGCCCAAATAAATAGTAAAAGAAATAAATATATCAATCATATAATCCAAAATCAAATAATTGAGGTTTGTAATAAAATTATACTTAAAAAGATAGTTGATAGAGTAAATTCATCTAAATGTTTCTCTATATTGGCTGACGAAACTACAGATGTAGCCACTAATGAACAACTACCTTTAAGTGCACAGTATGTGGATGATAATGATATTTTGCACGAAGATTTTCTTCAATTTTTTGAAATAAACAGTTTGACTGGTTCAAGTTTAGCTTCATCTATATTGAATGGTGAATATCAATTAAATTTTATAAATGGTAGGTAGATAATAATTTACAGATAATATACTTTAATTTTTGTTTTAAAGGTTTAAATAGCTGTGGTATTGAGTGTGACTACTTGTATGGCCAAGGCTACGATGGAGCCAGTAATATGGCAGGGAAATTTAATGGGGTCCAAGCTGTGATTAGAGCTACACATACAAAAGCACATTACGTGCATTGTGCAGCACATTCATTTAATTTAGCCGTATGTACATCAAGTAACATACAATCTGTTAGAAATTGCTTAGAAATAGTTGAGCGACTTTATGTGTTTTTTAACACACCTAAAAGGAAAAATGCATTGATCAATGAAATTGAAAAAAGCGACTCCATACCTAATTCAAATGCTAGGACCCTTAAAAGACAATGCGCAACAAGATGGGTTCAAAAATATGAGTCTGTTAACTTCGTAAACTTAATTAGCGGACTGTATAAGATTTATTTTATTTAACTATAGAATTACGGTATTATTTTATATATATTTGTATGGCGATGGACAGTTGAACGCATACTGACAATGTAAATAATACTGGCAACATCTTGGCCCACTCGTAACCAGCTCCTCCCATAGTCATTAGTGTGGCCATCACCACACTATGCGTCCTTTCCACCTGACCATTGGCTTGTGGGTGTCGAGACGACGTCCACACCAACTTGATCCCCTGGACAGTACAGTAGTCCTCAAATGCACCAGATGTATAGCATGTTCCACGGTCGGTGATCAGCCTTCCGGGAGTCCATATTCTTTCACAAATAGTTTTACACATTTTATCAGTAGTTCAGATTTGGTGTTGGGCACAGCATACAACGTAACATATTTGGTCATGTTGTCCTCCAGGACCAAAATGTACCTGAGTCCACCTGGAGCCGTTATGAAGGGTCCAACGTGGTCCACATGAACCGTTTCAAACGGTCGTTTCCCAATAGGTATTGGCTGTAACAGACATGGGCGTTTACCTCTGGGCACACGGGTTAACAAACACTCAAAACACGACCGGATGTGCAGTTTCACGTATCTTCTTATGTTGGGAAACCAGAAGTCCTGTAACACATTTGCTATTGTACGATCCACCACCGAGTGTCCAATCAAATCATGCGTGGTTACTACTAGACTTTTTTTCATTGACTTTGGCATGACAAATAGAAGTTTGTCCTGAAACTTCCGATACAACAGCTGATCCTTCATAACATAAGATAAGCCTATTCCTTCGTCGAGACTTTCTTCGACCATCCTCTTAATATGAGCCACATCACCGTCAGTGGTTTGACACATCATGACACGTTCTTCTAGCGTCATCAGCACACAAAAAGTCTGTCGCTCTGCTAGTGCTTTGTCAAGTGACTCTTCATATCCTACTGGGGCTCGGGATAAGGCATCTACATGTGCCATACGCACTCCAGGTCGATACTTCACCTCAAAGTCATATTCCTGTAAGGCGTCATACCACCGTGCAACTTGGGCATTAACACTTTTACTGCTGTTCAGGTAAGTGAGAGCTTGACAATCAGTGTATACTATAAACTTTATGCCCAAAAGAAATTGTCTCAATTTATTGACCGCCCATACCACACATAACAGCTCCAACTTTCTGGAATGGTATCGCGTTTCTGCATCACTCGTCTTCCTGTTCGCACAATAAACTAACTTGAGAGGGTCGCCTTCCACCGACGACCGTAACAGCATGGCCCCAAGACCCAATGCGCTCGCGTCAGTATGGAGCTCGGTACACGCAGCTTCCTTCCTGAACATGGTTTGGACCACGTCACTGGTCAGAATCTKACGCAGTGAGTCGAATGCCACCTGCTGCTCTTCAGTCCAGTTGAACCACTCGTTAACCACGCATCAGACGAGTCAAGGGTTCCGCAACAACCGCAAACTTGTGGACAAACCGCCGGAAGAATCCAGTAAGTCCAAGAAACCTACGGACTTCGTGAATGTCCTTTGGAACAGGATATCCTTCAATGGCACGCACCTTTTCCGTACCGGGCCGAATTTCGCCATTCTCAAAAATGAATCCAAGGAAGTTAATTTGCTTAGTGCCTGTTTAGCTGGGATAGCCAGTTTAAATAAACATGGTTGTATCCTAACTATTTCACTGGTAATTAATAAATAATTAATAATTAATACCTGAARGTAATATAAAATATATAGAAGTTAAACAAACGATATTTTATAAGTGGACTGTATATATTTATTGCATATATATAAGTAGGAAAATATGATGTACACGAGAACACCTTAAATAATATGTTAGTCCTACCAAATAATRATACAAATAATAATTGATCAACAAATCACAAACATGAGCGTGATAATAATAATATTATTAAACGTAAGCACACGGTGTTTATATCAACAACCGCTACAATACGATACAATTAATGATAATAGTACAAAATGATAATACGGAGTGATACGTCTGACCTGGTCGCTGATCGGCTTCCCCATACGACGTGTCGACGAATGCGATGTCCTCCAATCAAGTATACATCCGGCGGTTTATGATTCACGTCATAAGGAACCAAAACAATATAATAGTTGACCAAGCGTATGACACGTAATGCGCGTATAACGACTACCAGTTAGTTAACGCGAACAATCAAACCATGTGCGCAACAGCCAGTAACGGCGACAACACAGCCAGTAACGGCGAAAACACAGCCAGTAACGGCGACAACATAACACATGATCGACCTCTTAACGGTTACGAAGTCCGGAGAAAAACTCGCGGGTGAACATCAGCGAAGATATTAGTATATCATACCGTGCGCACTCGGGAACACACATATTTACGGCCGTATACCACACACAAAAAACACGTGACAACCGAATAATGCACGGTTTAAAAAGGTGCGTTACATTAGCGTGGCGTGAAAAAAATCGGTAACGACACCCGTACGCGTACTGGTCATAACGATAAACACGGTTCGTGAGCGAACTCGACGATGGCCCGCCGACATCTTCAGCGCATGCGTAACCGTCACCGGTTTAAAACTAGAATCCGAAATGGCTAGCGCTCTCTAGTTGGACTTGGTCCGAACAGTGCCAAATGAACACTTTGACGGTTTCAACGTCAGCTGTGCCTCACGTATTTTTTTCCAATACGGCTCGCAAATTGGTTAACATCTCCGTCCACAACCATATCATCAAGGTAATTCCGCCCGTGGAGTCCCTGGAGCGGACTCATCACACGCTGCATAAGTCGGGGAAATTCAGCGACAGCTCCCGACAGTCCAAACGGCATTCTATTAAACTCACCCGTCGTGTTCGCCGTAATAAAAGCCGTTTTTTCGGAGGCTTCCTTTGTCAATGGGATCTGCAGGTATCCGCTCGCCAAATCAAGCTGGGCGAACAACCGGCTATCCGCCAATGACTCCAACTGCTCCATCATGTGGTTGTGCTGCCGTATCGTCTGTTTATTTAGACGGCGGTAGTTAACGCATAACCGGTTCTTTCCCGGTTGCTTGACCAGCAGCACGGGACTGGCATAGGGCGAAGTCGTCTCAATCACCACACCGCACCTTTTCCAGTCCGTGACTATCCTATGTATCTCTTCACGGTACGCTTGCGTCGTTTTATATGGTCGACTGACGACCGGCAAACTACCGGGTACCTCTCGTATGTCAACGCGCATCAATCGTGTACATCCGAGTTCGTCCAGGTTCTTGGCGAAACAGCTTCGGTACTCATTAACAAGGGGTAGGAGGTCGCTTCGTTCCTTCTGAGTGGCTTCCGCGCTGACAAACTGGAAATCGTTTAAGTCCAACATCTGTCGAGCCGGTGGCTCGTGGTCAACCTTCAAGACGTGCAGATAGTCATCCTCCTTAGCGTGACTGGTAACTCCAACCGCCATACTGTCCACACAGGTCTCCGCTTCATAGATATACAGGCGCCCGTGAGCCTTATGGTAGGCCACGGACGGGTGGTCCAACCAAGATCGTCCGACAATCATGTCCGGAGCCTGGACATCGTCGGGCACCACGAGTAACAAGACCTTTCCTGGGTTTACGCCGTCAAGTATTACATGGGTCTCGACTTCTCCTAAGGCACACACCGACGGGACGATCGTATTCCCGATCCCGTATAGTGAGCGCACCGAGGGCTTCACGCGTAAGTCACATCGTATCGCGACACTGGCCTTGACGAGGGAGTGTTGACTACCAGTGTCGAGCAACACTTCCACTTCCCTATCATTTACCAATCCAATTTTCTTATAGGGATGGTTCGACGCTACAGGTCTCACCTCTGCGCAATTCATCTGATCTTTTTCCGGGCAGTTAGGTCGAATATTCCGCTCTACTCCGCAACCATAACATACAGGTTTACGAGTAGCTTTATCAGGACAGTCGCGCGACATATGCCCAATTTTCTTGCACACCCAACAACTGGCGGAGTACGTCTCACTGTTCGACCCACTCGTCTCCATGACAGTCTTGTCGAAATTCTCCCATTCATTGGGGCTCGCTTTCTCTTCTATCCATTTTTTAGGCAGCTGACGGGTAGGCGTTTCTTCAGCGTGCTGCGGAGCAACATACATTGGCGTGACTGCCAGCGCATGCAACGACGACATGCGCTCCCAATTGAGCAGATCACCCAGCAACTCCTCTTCGTCAACATGTGTCCGCCTAACGGCATACAGGGCCATTTCCCTTGATCTAAGTCCTCGCAAGACGCAGTTTTGGACACTTCAAATCTGTGTCCGATACCCCGACACATGCGGAGCTTGGGCTGCATATACGATATGAGGGTCTCGTTAGGCCCTTGCTTCCACGCACGCATCTCATCTTTGCGGTCGGCCGCACACGCGTCGCGCACAAATACGAGTCGGAATTTCCGTTCTAATTCTCGCCAATCAGAAAAATCTCGGCCCGCAAACCAGTCTTTGGCTGGGCCGGTCAGGTGCATACGGATGTATTGCAACACATATTCAAACGGCCGTCGATTAAGGGCCGTCATCCCTTTTATCTCTTCTAGCCAATCTTCAGCTTGCAGTGGAGTCTCGTCTCCATCGAATGTAGTCATTGCGCCGCTCAGGTAAGGAACTACCCTGTACTCCGGACGCATCGTCGGAGTTGGTAAAGGAGCGGGCGCAACAACTGGCTCGGACATAATGTCTTCCGCAGCGATTCTACTTCCGCTCGCAATATCAACGACTGCTCACTCTGCTGCTTGAGCTGCGCGACGAGATTCACCAATTCCAAATATGACGGAGCTTCAATACTAGCCAGTTTCGCGTATCTCTCGTCGTCCATGTTATCAGCCATCCTTATCAAATCGATTCACAAACAAAATAACAGGATTGTGGTAAGCGTGACGCATGTCGTCTGTGGTCGTGTCGGTTGTCGTCGGTACTGTCGGGAAGGTTAGGTTCAACCACCACTACGTCACCCATACTCGCGTATATTCGTAAGTCGTTCTGAATCCGTATACCAGGAGGGTTGATACGTCGTCGTACGAGGACACAGGTTCGAGGTAAATAAATGTAAACACAATATATTGTAATGACGCGTTGCGTCGAGTGTTTTATTGGTCGTAGTTCGTTATACAATATTGGCGAGATCGAGTCGTCGCGAGTGTAAAAGCTCGCGATCGGTACGCGCGTGATCGTTCGGGTCGCGAAGGCGTCGAGCTCGGTCGGTTGAGACGCTGTTCGTTCGGGCGTCTTAGGCGAAGAGAACGATAGGGTGACAGCGTCGTTCACGTCTTCGGCCGCGTCGTTGGCACGCGAGGGGGGTCGAGGTCGCTTTGGAAAAGAACATAAATATAATTACAAAGAAGTCGCATACAGAATAATACGCAATAAGAATACTGTCGCTGGGGTAGGTGGTAAGGTTTTTCGTGAATTGGGCAAACTGCTTCAGAAGTTTTGATTTCGTGGGTCACGGCGGTTGTTGCAGTGATTTTATCCCCTTCTAATTGAAACACGTCTGAGTATTGCTCGCAAATAGTAAGCAATGAGGATTTTTTCCTCTGAGTTTAAATGATCTGTTTGAAGGGCTGAGTGTAAGCGGGGCATTCTACTCGTATTCCCGTCAGCACAAGGTTCCGGATTTTCTGAGAGTTGTGATAGGTRCACATTCGCTTCGTTGAAATCTTCGTGTTCAAGTTGTTCTAATTGAGGGATTCGTAATTAAACTTGATTATCTGTTGGATTAATGAAAGGAACGTATATGAGATGATTTCTTACTGTGGTAACACAATTTCCACAAGTGATGGCCTTTGTAATGTATTTGCTAGAAATTAGAATGTTTGAATCCTCTGTTTTATTTRGAGCTGGAATGGCAACGAGAGTTTCTGTTCGTGGTTGTATTGTTAAGTTCGATAGAGGGGAAAGGATTAATTCTTTGGATTAGTTGTTAATTATCGTTTCTTGTCCGGTAATAAATGGTTTGCTTAAAATTCCTTCATTTGGTACTGGGAAATTTAAATTAACGACCTGAAATTCAACCTTCCTTCCTTCGCCTCCAATTTGAATTTCGATTGTAACGGATCCGAGAGTCGTCACAAAATTCTCTGTTATTCTTTTGAGTTCGTACWCGAGGTGGTCGTATACTGTTACGTACACTTCACTTGTTATATAAGCAAACACTGCTGTCACAAAGGTCGCGGTAACAATAGACCTACCGAGCTATCATTGCGTTGTCGCGGCTGCAGTCGACGTTACGTACACGGTATGAAAGGTTACATTGATCGCATTTACTTCACGCAATTTTGTGACAATACCATATAATATTCATATACCAAATCAACGAATATCGTTCGTACTCATACGCTCGCGCCACCATACGCATATGAGCATTCCATCGGTTGACATTACGTTATATATATTATTTATACCTATACCGTTCGTTCCGTTGTGTCACCACCTGCCACATCTTCCATCATATAACCATCGCCATCTTCGTCAAGTTCATCGCCGTTGTAGTAAACCGACGGAGTCGCTCTACTATTTTTTTTAATTACATTAACATATTATAATTACAATTCACACTACTATTATACTACTATCTTCCTGGACCTCGAGAATGACAGTTTTATCGATACCAGATTCAACCGCCGCTGCACATGAATTGCGTCCCAAATTCCCTTTTCCGCATGAATTGCGTCCCAAAGATATTTAACGACTACACGAATTGCGTCCCAACCATATTTAACAACTACCCGAATTGCGTCCCAACGTAAAAAA